AAGCAAAATTGCAAATTTAAATGCTCCCTATAATAAATTTAGGAAGTTATAAAAAAAGATATGGAAGTGCAAAGAGAGGGAAAAAAAAAGGGAGGGCGAACACGAATGGCGAGCCATTTAATAGCATAAAAGGTAAATAAAAAAAATGTAAGGGCAAAAGAAAGGGTTTAATGTCAAATTTTGCCACCATTCTTTTTCGGTTTGGTAATTTGGTACTTATAGTATCAAATTATGTAATTTGAACATTAAAGTATTAGAAATTGAGTAAATATTATCCAAATTACTTAATTTTGATTATGTTTAACGATCAACTAGGTTGACCATTACTTGGAATACCAAAACAACGTTGGTTAGGCGTTTATCTGTTAATTATATATTTTTTTAAAATATATTTTGAAAATATTTTTAACCCCTCTAATCTTGAACTTTTTTTTAAAAAAAAAACTTTTTTTCTTATAAAATATTATAAAAATATTTATAAAATTATAAATTATATATAAAAAAATTTTATAAATATTTTTAACCCCCTAATTTTGAACCTTTTTTTTTTTTTATAAAATGTTATTTTAAAAAATAATAATTAACAATACATAATTTTACATCTTAAAAAAATATTTTATAAATTAAATGAGCATAATTAAGGGTTGACCCTCCTAATTTTATAAATTATAAAAGAAGCATTGTTTTGTAAAATATTTATAATATTTTATAAAAAAGTTAAAAATATTTATAAAATATTTATTTTGTAAGAAAAACGACTTTTTTTTTAAAAAAAAATCAAAACTAGACTCGTTAAAAATGTTTTTATAATATTTTATTTTTAAAAAATATAATTAATAGCAAAATACCAAAACAACGTTGTTTTGACATTCCGAGTAATGGTCAATCGAGTTGATCGCTTCATATAACAAATATTGGATATTTTGAATCACATTTGCTCAATCTTCAATAATTTGGGATTCAAATTATGTGATTTAGTATTATAGATATGAGATTATCAAATCGCAATAGAATAAGGATAAAATTTGCAAGTAAACCCAAAAGAAAGAGACTCTCTATAGTAAATGTGAAAAGTTATGAAAAAGATCATGAATGTCTAGAGAAAACCTATAGTAGGAAACATGATAAAGTAATAATAAAGTTATTTAATGACATCCTAACGTAAATAAAGAGTAAAGAAAAAGATAGAAAAATGAATCATTACTATATAACTAAATCGAGTGATGGTTTTCCTATTACAACACTCGTTTACATACACTCATTGGTATTATGAACTCAGCCTCCATGCACTTTCAACCGTCCGTCTATTCTTTGCTCTCTCTTTGTTGTTGATTTCCTCTTTAAATTGCTTCTTAGTCATTTATTCTCCCTTGCAGGTACTTTTTAGGAAGCATCAATTGATTATTGGTGCCCATCGGTTGTTTGTTTAATTGTTTGGATGCCATTTTGTCCTCTTACTAAATTACTTTTTTGCGCTCCTCTATTTGGTCTTTCTTGCCTTGGCTTTTTCTAGCCTTTCCGTCAGTTTCTTTTTTAATCCTAGGGAGCATTTAATGCTCTGTACACTTTAATCTTTTAAGTTATTATTTTATATAAAATAGTTCTTAATTTTAATTAATATTACATAAAGGTTCCCGTAATTTTTTTGACTGAATGGGTTATTTTTTCATTAATTATTATTTAATGAAAGTAATTTTTCTCCATAATCAATGGTTACTTTTTCTATTTTTATAAATATTCATTAAATAAAATTAAATATTCTTCTAATATAAATTGATTAAGCACCTCCTTCTAATTTGATTTTTTAAAATAAATAATTAATTACATGTATTTTTTATTTATCAAAATAAAAAATATTCCTAAGATATATTTAAATTCTATTATATATATATATATATATATATATATATATATATATATATATATATATATATATATATATATATTAAATTAAACAATTTGTTACAATGAGTGTTATTAAATTTTTATTTTATATTTTTATTTTTAAATTATTTAAAACATTAAGATATAGATATATTAAAATTAACTATAGCAACACGCGGGTGTTGAGCTAGTAAAGACTAAAAGTAAGGGTGCAACGAGACCAAAAAAAAAAAAAAAAAAACCATTTGTAAGGACCAAAAAATGCATGAGCACAAAATATATACTCGACCTTGTAACCAAGCACAAGTGTGTGTGAGATAATAAAGTCTCTCATGGTATCAAAGCTATTCAAGACTTAGCGAGTCCACAATAATTTTTTTTCTTCTTTTTCAACATGATAGAATCTACTACTTCACAGAATTAGACCCTTGTGTTGTCACGCTCCTGCTATCATAGTAGCCACCCCACCATCTCTTCCTAATCTCCATAATCCATCCATCCTTAAAATTACCTCTACCAATTTTATCCTATGGCAAAAACAAATTAATCCCTTTTACGTTGTCATGGTCTTCTTCATCATGTTGATGGATCTCATCCTCCACCCCATCCTACTCTTGACAACAATGAACCCAATCCCGCCTTCGCAAGCCGGGAACGTTATGATTAACTCGTTCTCACCTGGATTGTTGGTTCCTTAATAGAGACTGTTCTACCACTTGTTGTTGGGGCCTCTACTGACTTGAGAGGCTTGGATAAAATTAACAGTTGTTTATAGTTCTAGCACTGGAACCCAAATCAATCATTTAAAAAGCAATCTTTACCAACTTGTTCAACGCCCAGTCGAACCGGTTCAACAATATTTTCAACGTGGAAAAGCTATCTTTGATGCTCGCATTCTCTTGGCTCACCAATTCCTATGAATGACTTTGTTCAAGCCTTACTTCGTGGCTTCAATCCTTCCCATAGGCCTTTTGTACGGGCTATTGAATCTCGCAATGAAAATGTATCTTATGAGACCTTGTATGGTCTTGCTCTCGATGAAGAATTCCAACTTCATGACACCATTCGGTCTGCGAAGTCCTAATTTTAGTTCACTATGCTAACCGTCGTACTCAACTCGTGATCGAGGATAACATGGTGGGTGTCCTTTCATACATGGCTCTCGTACGGGACCTACCCGTGATATGAATCCGATTCCGATCATCGTGGTCCGCTATAATTGCAAAGGTAGTGATCACCTAGCAAATGTCTATCCATCCCTAAAATCATGCCAATCTACATGTCAACCAAAGCCTTCATCTAACCTTGCTCAATCCACCTCCAACACACCCAACTCTCAATGGATTATAGACACCGGTGCTACTCATTATATGATGACGCATTTAGAAAATCTTTCCATTCACAATGACTCGCTCTCGTCCGGATGAAGTCTAACACACTAATGGTAAACATGTTCCTATCTCTCATATTGGTTTTTTTACCTTTCAAACTCAAACTCGAACATTTTACCTCCGTAATATATTGCATGTTCCTTTAAGTCGTCAAAATATTTTGTCCGTTAATAGTTTTACCAAAAATAATTCTTGTCCAATTGAATTTTTTCCCGACAAATTTTTGGTAAAGGATTTGGCTATACGAGAAATTCTCCATAGCGGCTTGCTTGACAACGGGCTCTACATAATCTCCTCCAATACCGCTCTCATTCATCTGTCCTCCTATCTAAGCTCACCATACCACTCTTTCCACTTGGCATGCTCGCCTTGGTCATGCATCAACCAAAACCGTCTACCAAGCTGCGAAACACTATAGAATCCATATTTCTTCGCCCAAAGACTTTTCCTTATGTCATGCTTGTAGTATTAGCAAGATTCATAAGTTACCCTTTCCCCATCTACTTTTTTAGCTAAAGAACCATTAGACTTAGTATGTTCGATGTTTGGGGTCCTTCCTTTATACCATCCATTGATGGTTACCTTATTATGTGTTTTTCTATGATCATTTCAGCAAATATCGTTGATTGTTTTTTCTTCATTATAAATCGAAGTTCTTAACACTTTCATTAAGTTTAGACATCCGGTTCAAATTTTTTTGGCAAACCAATTAAATAGTTTCAATCGACTGGGGTGGTGAGTATCAAGCCTTAACCAAATATTTAATTGAAAATGGCATCTCCCGGAGAATTGCTTGTCCCAAAACACTAGAACAAAATGGTTGTTCGGAGTGCAAACATCGACATATAGTTGAAATTGGTCTAGCTCTCCTCCATCATGCCTCTATTCCACTACCTTTTTAGACCTATGCGTTTGATACGGCTATTTACTCCATAAATCGCCTTCCTACACCCCGTTTACAAAATAACTCACCTTACTACATCCTCTTTGGAATACACCCACTATACAAAGAACTTAAGGTCTTCGGTTGTCTATGTTATCCTTGGTTACGCCCCTATGCTAAACACAAACTTGCACCACGTTCCTTTACTTGTGTGTTCTTAGGCTAGAGTAAAGTACATAAAGGTTATATCTCGCTACTCTATTTTAAACAAAAAAAATCTTTATCTCACGTCATGTTTTATTTGATGAACATATTTTTCCTCTTGTGTCGTCAACATCGAGCTCATCCGTGCGCCATAATCCATTTGAGACAAAGGCCTCTACTTCACAAGGCTCATCTTTACATCCCACATATACTACTTTACCTATATCACAAAAATATACCACCTCACATTTAAACCTTCGACAAACCGTTCCCCCGCCCCCAAGCGACCAGTCGGTTCTCCTTTACAAATCCAGCAACCTTACTCACCTATTGACCCAAACGACTCTTTTTCTAAACACAACGACCCACTCATTTAGTCAATAGCCTAAACGCTACTATTAATCCCAATCTGTTTCCACTCGGCCCCATCCCAAACAACACTAATCCATTATACTTTGACCCACAACTACATCCTGGCCTAACAAGCTCGAGCCCATCTCTTCCATCGGACACCATACTTCCACAAACCTATACTCCTTCTCCATTTCTTTTTCAAATCAACCTCACGACATACCCGCTCCCTACCACGCATCGGTCATCATCATCTTCCCCAAATCTCCCATCATCCCCTACTCAAAATGTCAAAACACCACCATCACCCATACACTCCACCATCATGTCTCCTAAACGTGGTAGCTCGGGATTCGCCCACTTACCGGTCGTACCTTTTCCCTTGGCCCACCGCCCTCACCTCAATCTTCTCCCCTCCAGCCCTATCCCCGGAATGCCTAGTAAGACATCCCGATCCGACTCCATAAGCATTACCCCTATTTCCTCCGCCTAACCTTTATGACCTCCACCTCAAAACATTTGCTCGGCATCTCCCGCCCACCATCATGCTAGATCCGATCCTCCCGAACCCATAGCCTTCAAGTATCCTATGGTTACTCGTGTAAAAACGAGACAACCTAAAGCCTCACACATATTCCATCGTGGTCTTCTTAGCTACACCCTCGTCCTACACACAAGCTAGCAAAAGTTTCGAATGGAATGAAGCTATGGCTAATGAAATCCAAGCCCTAATAGCAAATGACACATGAGAGCTTGGGCCCCATCATCCCACTTACAATGTGATTGGTAACAAATGGATTTATAGAGTGAAAAAAAACTCGGATGGGTCAATTGATCGGTACAAAGCACAATTGGTTGCACAATGATTCAACCACCACCACAGGATTGACTTCACGGACACTTACGATTCCGTCATTAAACTTATGGCACTACGATTGATTCTCTCCATCACCGTGTCTATGAATTGGTAAGCTGAGCAACTAGACATATTTAATGTTTTTCTTCATGGTCCACTGGATGAAGTGGTTTATATGTCACAACCTAAGGGATTTATTGATCAAACCGAGACCCACACACATTTATAGACTTAAAAAGTCTCTCTATGGCTTGAAGCAGGCACCACGATAATGGTTTAAGTGTTTCATAGACAAGTTCGCTGTCTCCGGGTTTCATCTGGATCTAAAACCGATATGTCTTTGTATTTTTGACACACTCGGACAAGACATAACCTTTTGCTTAATATATGTGGATGATTTGGTTGTTACGGACAGCAATAAAATGTTGATCGCTTCTTTAATATCCGCCCTAGACTTTACCTTCCCAGTGAAACATCTTGGATGACTATAATATTTTTTAGGAATAGAAGCCAACTAGGGAGCTACCGGTCTATTCCTTCACCAACACAAGTACGCTTATGAGCTCCTACGCAAGGCTAACATGCATCGGGCCAATGACCTTAGCACCTCGGGTTGCTTTACTATAAAGTTGTAAGCAACGGGTGCCCTTCGTTCTCCGATCCAATGCTTTATCGTAGTCTAGTAGGTGGCTTCTAGTATCTCGGCATCACTCGCCCAAACATTGTTTACTCGTCAACAAAGTAGCGCAATACATGCACTCTCCCACATAAGCCCATTGGATTGCTTTGAAAAGAATTTTACGTTGGCCACTAAATGCTACAGATTATTGGTCCAAAAATTCCCTTAACTTCTCCATTAGTGCTTATACCGATTCCGATTAGGTCGGGGACATTGATGATCGCAAAAGCACATCTAGGTATGCCGTTTATCTTGGTCGGAATTTGATTTCATAGCGGTCTCGCAAACGAGTGCACTCGTTGCTCGCTCGTCCATAAAAGTCGAATATCGTGCTCTAGCGACGGCTTCCTCCGAGGTTGAATAGATTGAATCTCTAATGAAAGAGATTGGCATACTTACGTCTAGGAAACCAAAGATTTGGTGTGACAATATCTCAACAACATATCTCACGACAACATCGATTTTCCATTCAAGGTCTAAGTATTTAGAAATTGATTTCCATTTCGTGTGTGATAAGGTTCACAACGGTATGCTACAAGTTTGCTACTTGCCAACCGGTGATCAAATTGAGGACATTTTCACCAAGCCATTATCCAAGGCGGCCTTCCACAACCTACGATCCAAGTTGTGCGTCCATGCCGATCTTGTTTAACTTGCGGGAGGGTGATAAGGACAACCATCGTCGGTATAATTCTAGTAGCATTACACTCCCTGTAATTACCACTTTACTTCATACTAGAAGTCTATTTTGATTATACTTGTTGTAGATATCATATATCTCCTTGTAGTTATCTTGAACGATAACAAGTCGGTATATATCGACCACCGTAACCAAGCACAAGTGTGTGTGAGATAATAAAGTCTTTCATAAACAATGAATTATTTGATATGTCTATGTCACTTCAAAAGAATAAGAAATCATATTTCTTAGACATGTTGAAGAATTATGGTCAATTTTGAAATGAGACATGATCAATAGAAAAGTAATATGAACTAAAAGATGAGTGAAAATGTAATCCCTTTTAATTTTATTGATGCTGGCATTGTAATAGTCCCTTTCTATACTATATTGTAACCTTCGTAAGTGAAAATATAATCCTACCTTGCAATTGCTTGCAAAACCTACGCTAAGCTAATCCAATGCTAAAGCCACAAAGAAATGCGTATGTCCCATTTAGATACGAGCCCTTTCTATTCAAACCAAATGGTGTTACACCCTTCCGTCCTCTTGACTAGGGGTGATCATTCGGTTTTTCGGTTTGATTTTGATATTTGTTTTCGGTTTTCGGTTAATCAAATTGGCTAAAAAAAAAAAAACCAAAATCGAACCGAATTGATGTTCGGTTTTTCGGTTAAAAACCAAATTTTTTTCGGTTTGGTTTTCGGTTAAAAATTGATTTTTTTTTTTTTGGCATTTTTCTTCTAAAAATCAAATTATTTTGCTTTTAAAAAATATCAAACTTGCATAATCAAAGATTTCATATTTCACATTTGATTTTATAAGAAAATTATGTATGATTATTATTATTTTTCTATAATAAATATGTTTCTATTTATATTATAAACTAAATTAGTTGGGCTTCTCATTATTTTTTCAATGACGCTATAATTGGTTTTTTATTAATTTTTCATATTCTTTTTTTAATCTATTTATTTTGTGCATATTTTATTGTTGAATATATAATATGAAAAATCCAATTTTTAATGTATATTTGTGCCAATTTTAATACAAGGAGACAAATTTTTTTCCATGAGGTTTTAGGATTCACCCATACATAAATTTTTGTTTTTATAAAGAATTTCTTTATCATAGTCTTTTTTTTATTTTTTTGTGAGTCAATATAATATAATCAATTATTTTTTATTTCAATAAATAATTAATGAAAAATATTTCTATTTTAAGTAGAAAAAAATCATTAAAGCTATTGTTCTTTTAATTAAACCCATAGGTGCATCTTTGAATAAAAAAAAAAAAAGAGTTGGGGTATGTGTTTTAAAAAAAAAAACTAATTCGGTTTTCGGTGAAAACCGAATTTGAAAAAAAAAACCGAACCAAACCGAAATAATTTCGGTTTTGGTTTTAAAATAAATTTTTTTTTAAAAAAACCGAACCGAAATTGTTAATTCGGTTCGATATGATTCGGTATTTCGGTTTTAACCGAATAGTGAACATTCCTACTCTTGACTCCGTTAAGCTCTTAAAACTATCAGCTGATACTAACAACCTGAAGGCTGGTAAAACAATCCATGCCTATTTGATCATAACTAACCAACCCACCCAAAGCAACAGGATTGAAGTTAATTCCTTGATAAATTTCTATGCAAAAGTTAATCAAGTCTGGGTTGCCCACACCTTGTTTGATAGAATGCCTAAAAGAAATGTGGTTTCTTGGGGTACTTTGATGACTGGGTATTTGCTGGGTTTTCTTTCAAAGTGATTAGATTGTTGAAAGATATGGTTTCCGAGGCTAATGTGAGCCCAAATGAGTACATTTTCGCCATTGCAATTTCTTCTTGTTGTGATCGTTGGGGAATAGAGGAGGGTAGGCAATGCCATGCGCTTGTTGTAAAGACTGGATTTCTGTTTTATAGTTGTGTGAGGAATGCTCTTGTATCTATGTATTCTAGGTTTTCGATTGTTCAAGATGCAATGGGGTTTGGAATGAAGTGCCTGGAAATGATATTGTTGCTTATAATTCGATTTTGAGTGGATTTTTGGAAAACGGGTATTTGAGGGAGGGTTTAGATGTTCTGAGGAGCATGTTGAGTAAGTCTATGAAGTGGGATAAGGTTACTTTTGTTAATGTTTTTGGTCTTTGTGCTTCCCTTAAAAATTTTGAATTGGGTTTTGCAAGTCCATGACTAGATGATGCTGATGGATGTTGAATGTGCATGTTAGCAGTGCAATCATAAATATGTACGGGAAATGTGGGAACAGTTTGATGGCAAGGGGTTTTTTCAATGGTTTGCAAAGTAAGAATGTGGTGTTATGGACTGTTGTCATGGCTGCTTGCTTTCAAAATGGTTGCTTTGAAGAAGCACTGAATTTATTTTCAAAAATGGAACATGAAAAATGTAAAGTCAAACGAATTTACATATGCTGTCTTGTTAAATGCTAGTGCTTTTCTGTCAGCACTAAGAAATGGGTCTTCGTTACATGGGCACAGTGAGAAGTCAGGTTTTAAGGAACATGTTTTGGTTGGAAATGCTTTAATAATTATGTATGCACAGAGCGGCAACATTGAGTCAACTAAGAAAGTATTTCAGATATGATGCATCGCGACATCATTACTTGGAATGCAATGATATGTGGCTTCTCACATCATGGTCTAGGAAAGAGAGCACTTCTTATGTTTCATGTCATGTTGGCTGCAGAAGAGCATCCTAACTCTGTAACTTTTACTTGGTTGCTCTCTGCTTGTAGCCATCTGGGTCTAGTGCAAGACGGATTCTATTATTTGCACCACCTAATCAAACAGTTTGGTGTCCAAACTGGATTGGAGCACTATACTTGTATTGTTGGCCTTCTATGCAGGGCTGGACGAGTTGATGATGCTCACAATTTTATGAGGATTGCACCAGTTAAATGGGATGTTGTTGCCTGGCGTACTTTGCTCAATGCGTGTCATGTCCATCGGTACTCTGGCTTAGTAAGGCAGGTTGCAGAAACTGTCTTAGAGATGGACCCTCACGATGTTGGAACATATACACTATTATCTAATATGTATGCCAAGGAAAAGAGATCGGATGGAGTTGTCAAGATTGGGAAGTTGATGAGGGACAAAAACATTAAGAAAGAACCTGGGGTGAGCTGGATAGAGATAGGCATGTTACCCACATATTTACTTCAGAAGATAATAAGCATCCAGATTGTAGTCAGATTTATCATAAAGTCAAGGCACTCTTGGCTATGATTAAGCTCCTGGGTTATAGTCCAGATATTGGTGCTGTACTGCATGATGTGAAGGATGAGCCTAAGGAATATAATCTTTGTTATCACAGTGAGAAGTTGGCCATAGCTTATGGTCTTCTGAAAATGCCATCAGAAGCATCCATCCTTGTAATTAAGAACCTTAGGATGTGTGATGATTGCCATTCAGCTGTGAGATTTATTTCAAAGGTTACAAACAGGGTGATAACTGTTAGAGATGCCAACCGTTTCCATCACTTTCGAGATGGGAGGTGTTCTTGTGCAGATTATTGGTGACACTTATAAAAATTGCATGTTGTGCAAATACTAAGGTGGTTTTGGGAACCATATCAGCTTCCATGGTGGCCGTGATAGACGATTGTTGATGTTGTTGAGTAATAGGTCCGCTCATGGAATTTTGAAGGATGGTGCAACCTGTTTAACCATATGCATATCAGATTTGCTGGAAACATTTTCTCTCTATATACTTGGATAAATATTAGCGCATTATAAGATTCTTTTGTTGTAACTGTATATATAGCAGATCTAGATATATCCCTTGTCGGTCATGCAGCTGAAGAATATCACCAATTGCTTGCTGCTGCCACTGGTGGAACTGGCCAACAACTTTCAACGACTCGATTGATGAGGTCAAGAATTAATCTTTTTTCTTGAAAAACACAGATTATGTTGTGCAACAGTTCCTTTTAATTCTTTCTAATACATTGAATTGTGCTTTGTAGTTATTCATAAAGGTTCTTGGAAGTGAGACATCTGGGGGACAAGTTTAAAACCAAAGCTTTATTATATTCAAAAGATGCCTTCCTAGAAGGACAGCCACTATAGCCTTTATAGTGGAGCTGATCAGGTAAATTACTCATTGAAACAACGAATGACTGCTACAGTTCGCTTTTATGTTGACCTTGGATTTTTTTTTACATCACCATTATCGAGTTTACATGATGATCCTGGTAAGAACTCAGCTGCAGATGTATAAATCTACCATAAATGTTTACATCACCGTCATATGTATCTGATGACATTTTAGGCCTTGGTGATTAAAAGCAATGTCTTTAATGGCAGATGGAAATAAGTTGTGCTTGAGGCAGAATGCTTGCACAATTGCTGGGAATTCTCACTGTTTATTTACTCCCTGCAAATGCCCTGGAGGTAATTAGCTGGCATGTTCAAATGTGCAAACTCTCTTCATGTATGTCACGTAAAACTTGAAACATGATTTTGTATTTGATTTTAGCGTTCTTGCCATTGTCTAATTGAGATAACATGCTCTATTTAAACTTGAAATTAGTTGCATTGGAATTCTCTGTCATTTTAACTAGTAAAAATAATAAGTCAGTGGCAATAATAGGATGGCATGTTCACACTTTGTGAGCACCCAATTTTGTCTTGATGACTTTAAATAATAGATTTTTTTTTTAAAAAAAAAAAAAAAAAACACCGGTTATATTAAATGTTACCCAATTTGAAAAATATTTTTAATGAGTTTTTTACATGAAATTTTTTTTGTAAGAAGATTTTTAGTAATTATTTTAATGAGTTTTATTTTCAAATTACGTAGGAAAGTCATTCATGGCTTTTCTCGCTTTGACACAAAATTCATCTTTACAAACATCCCTATGTGATTCACCCAATGGTGGAACTATTTTGGTCCTACTCCGGACATGCTCACTCCGGTAATTGCCGAGAGTTATACTCTCTTCAAAACACAATACAAACCTTCGGAAAATGAAAAAAGATTCACCTCTCTTTTCCTTTTACGCACAAAATTCTTTCTTCCTTGGGTTTGTTCCTGGTATTATGAAACTCAATATCAAAACCGAGGCTTTAATCCTCATCCGAAGGTTTAAAGTTATAATATTTTGAGAAATAAGTTTTAAGGAATCGCTTGGTTTTGAAGAAAGGGGTTTTTCGAAGAGGAAGAAACTCGGAATCCGAATTTGTTGTTTGTGAGGAATTTGACTCGTTTTGTACCATCTCAAACATGATGGCGAAATATTCTTCCTCTCGTTTCTTGCTCTGCAAGTACGGTATTAGCAACAAATTTTTATGCAAGGAAATTTGTTGTTGAGGATGATGGATTGAGTAATCCTTGTTTTGTAAGCCATTCTTCAATACCTATTTTGGATATAGATGTTGGAACTCGGAAAGAATCCCATATATATATATATCATGAAATTAGGTGTGAAAAATAAATTTAATTTTTTTAATATATGAATTTTGGAATAAAATTTTAGAACATTAGTGTTTAATATTTTAAAAATATATTATTATTATTTATAAATTATGATTATATATATATATATATATATATATATATATATATATATATATATATATTATATCATGAAATTAGGTGTGAAAAATAAATTTAATTTTTTTAATATATGAATTTTGGAATAAAATTTTAGAACATTAGTGTTTAATATTTTAAAAATATATTATTATTATTTATAAATTATGATTATATATATAGATAGGGGGAGGGGAGATAAAAGTATGTTTTAGATAGTTTGACTCATTTTTTAAAAAAAAATTCACAAGTTTCATTATATATATATTCAGAATTTATAAGATCAATTTTGTTGTAGTTCTTTTTAGTCTATTTACTTCAATATATTTCATACAATTTAGGTTGATTTTTTTTATATATTTTTCTATTCATTTTATATACTACGAATCGTTATATATATATATCATTAGTTTTATTATAAATTAATTATATATACGCACACATGGTACCAATTCTTTATTATTTATTTTTTATATTCTAATTTTAAAAAAAATAAAAAAAGTTGCATAATGTTTTGAAAGAATTTTCCAATTATTCAAATAAAACTTTTATGCTAATATTATTAAATATTTTATTAATAAATATATATATGAATCAAGCAATTTCGGTCAATATATAGATTCGATTTACATTAATTATTGAAAATAAAACTTTTACTTGCGGTATACCATAAGAATCATTAATGTTATATATATATAATAGGTGCCCGACAATAGCGTAATGCGAGTAACCAATCTAGTAATCACTAAAGCATAATAATAAATAAATAAATAAATAAATAAATAAACACATATGATAATAGGAAACATAAAAACAAATGGGAGGAGATTGCGTGTTACAAGAAAAATCCTATTGAGTAGCTTTGCCCCTTAAGAGTGACACGTTTTTATGTTTGTTGTTTGTTATGATTCATAATATAGTTTTAATTTTTTTTAGAAAAATTATAATTTTGATATTACATGAAGCCATAAATGGAAGGAATATAAATAAAACGAAATACTCCATATGCAAATGCAAAGAATATAAATAAAAGAATACTCCCTCCCATTGATTTCATGTTGTTATAGTTGGCTATTAATTTTTTTACCCGCGTTATACTTGCGGATTGGATAAAATATAAAAAATTACTTTAGTTTAATGTTCCATGTTATATTGTGCATATACAAAAATATATCAAATCAAAACTGAATAAACATTCATTTAATTTTATAATTTTTTAATCAAAATTTTGGATTTGACTAATTATTTTTTATATTTTTTGTAATTTTTTGAAACATTATTTATTTATCTCTATCCACAAACTAAAAAAAATTATAATATTATAAAAAATATCAAAATTATTAGACTCGTTAGCTAAAAGTTTATTTTGTAAATTGTTTTTTCTAAACTTTTTTTTTTTTTTTGCCTTAAAATTTTTAATTAAAAAAATAGAAAAAAAAGAGGAAGGACCAAAGTGATCAAAATGAAAAAAAAAAAGAAAAAAGAAAATGAGAGAACAAAATGAAAGAAAAAATATTTATGAACTAAAAAAACAATGTCTTTTTTTAAAAAAAAGACTAAACCGTAATGTCATGAAAACTTTCATAATAAATGTCGTTAAAATATTTAAAAACTATAAAAACCTCATTGTATAGTGAAAAGAATAATATATCCGAGTTTTGGTAAATAGTGCAAATGAGTCTCGATGAATAATATTTTAAATAAGATAGTGAATAGTAACCGATCATTTTACCTTAGTTTTTTTTTTGTTAATACTTTTTTGAGATATTCTAAGTAATAAATTAGCGACTTTACGTGCTACATCTGCGAGTCGGTATAATAAAAATCATTTCAAAATTTTATAATGCTTTCATTGAATTTTTTTACTTCATTATATATTTTTTTAATGTTTTTCATAAATTTTCTATTTAAAAAGAATTTATTCTTTCTTATGTATTGATTCTTAAATAGAAACTTGTAATAATTTAAACTGAAATATTAATTGACAATAAAAAAAAAATCTAAAAATATATTTTTCATAAGAATGCATTAAAAAATAAAGTGACAATTAATATATAGACTTGTATAAAAAATAAATAATAAAATAATAAATTTTTATTCTTATTTAATACTGATGAGAAGATTTTTTTTTTTTTTTAAAGTATAGACATTTGATCTATATATATTTATTTACAAAATAATTAATAATGTTAGCATAAAAATTGTATTTGAATAATTACGTGATAAATTTTAAAAGTTATTTTAATTATTTTATTTTAAAAAAATTGGTTCTATAATGCTAAAAAAATTATTCATAGCAAATAGTTGATGTTATGAGTGAAGATATATGGTTAATTTTTAATCAAATCGATGATTTAATAGTTTTTTTTCTTTTTATATGTTTTAATCATACTTATTAGACTAAAATAAATTATCTAAAACACATTTTTAAATTTTTATATTAAAATAATTATATATTTATATATATGCAACAATCATTTTAAAATTCTAAGAATTAATGATATATATTAAATCAATTTATTTTTTAAAAAAGAAAAAACAATCAAGTTTTAAAATTTTATTCTAAAATGCAAATAAGAGAAAAATAAATCATATTTACTTGTAAATAAAATTTTGTATAAAAAATATTAATTTAATGAGATTTTTCATAAGAAATGTCAAATTCAAAGAATAAAATTTAAATAATAAGAGTAATATAATATAAACTTTATTAATTTTAAAATATAAAAAGATAGTGTACATATATTTTATCCTTGTTACATTGCATGAAAAACACAAATAATAATGTTCAATGTTCTATAATTTTTACCTAAAAAATCTTAATTAGAAAAGGAAATTAAAGAATAGAAAAAAGGGAAAAAAAAAAACCCAAGGACCAGTTCCACCTAATTGGGCCTAGGCAAAAAAGGAAAAAAAAAAAAAACTAATGGCTTTTAATTCCGGCTACCTCTACAATTTTTGATGACATTGATTTTGCCAAAAAAGTTGTTGGAAAGGTCGTTTTATCATTTTCTGTTTCTTAAAACCAAATTCGGTCACATTTTTTGTCCAAAAAATCTAAAAATCATAGAAATAACATCAAAAACTTCGTTTAGAATTTTAAAATCTATTTTAATGCACACAAAATACATAAAGTTCAAATTCAAATAAAAAAATTCAAAATATTTTGAGTTTGTAATCTACCTTTTCTTATATTTTATGGCTTACTACCACTACAAAAGAATTTTACTCTTCAAAATGAATAAATTAGTGGTAAATTTGATTGTGAGAATCGCTGGAATGGACTTGGTCAACTCTCCTTCTCCTCTTAGTATGTAGGGATCAAAATAAACAAAAAATAAAGTTGTGGATCGAAAAAAAAAGTTTAAAAACGAGAGATTAAAATGGACGTTTTTGGACAAATACTATAAATGCACAACGTATAAATAATGATTTTATAAATATTAAACAGTGAATAAATATGAAAAATAGAGACACCGAACAGTAAATCCACATTAATTGATTAGTATTTTTGGATTTTCTTTTAATATATATA